CACAAGTAATTCGTTTAATATGCTCTTGTTGTTTTGTAATCCTGCCCATAAAAAATTATCCTTTATCCAAACCAAAAATATATTGATGGGCCAGTTATACAATGAAATGGAGTGAGAAAGACAAACAAAATAAACAAACAATTTTATCTTGCAGACCTCTAAATCACAAATTTACAATTATGAATAACAATTTTAAAGATATAACCCATATTCCATATTGTCTAGAAATTAAAAGTTTTTCGCCATCCTCTCTTGTATTTGTAAGACACAAGCTCATTTCTATTATAAATAATTAAATATGCTTATTTCGTGGTGAGTATAATTTTAACTTGGATCATAGTTATTAAAAAAATATTACTCCCTCATGTTTTTATAAGAAAGAAGTACCAAAATCACACATTTCAGAATATTAGTTAAAGTTAAGGTATGTAGTTAAACAAATCTATCTTGAAACTCTTGTAGTTCAATGAAGGTAAGGAGTTTAGAATATTAGTTAAAGAGACCTGATGGCCAAAATCCTAGTAATCAGGCCGTGATTTTAAAAATCAAGAGATACAGAATTGAAAGTCAAATAGAATACAATCAGAATTTGATCCTCCTACCTACCAAATTATACCTTTGTCAAATAGAATTTGTTTTAATTCTACAATTTAAACAGAGTTATTAAAATAATGGACTAGGGTTTCTCAGGCCCAAGGCATATTAGGTTAGGTTGCTGTCGGTATTTCCCCTCCCCCCAAAATTATACCTTTGTTTATAAAAACAATAAATAAAAGATCATGAGTGAAAATTTATCACAAAGAGATAATAAGTAAAAATAAGAGTAATTTAAAAAAAAAAAGAGTGCAATAATAGTACTCACACTCTCTCTCATATATAATTCTTGTGATAACTAATATAGAGGCATATATTTAATAGGGGAGAAAATATAAAGACCAGTTTAAAATTTTAGACCAAAAGTATCTCCTGCTTATATTTAGGACCGCCCCATTATTCTTTGTGACAGGGATCCAAGGGAGTATATTAAATTATTCATATAATAAAGGATGAATATAAAAGCAAAAGAAAGTGCCTGTATTTTACTTATTTAAAAAAACCCAAAAATTAGATGGAAAATAACAATAAGAAAAAGAGAAGACGTACCCAGGTTGATAACGCCAGCCTGATAAGTCAGCTGCTTGAGACAAAGCCCTCCTCCATTTCTGTAACCTCTCATCATTTATTCCCAATCTGTTTTGCAAATTAGCAAGATCTTGTCCATAGCGCCGTGTCTGATGCCGCACCTCTGATGGATCCACATCATAAAACACTGAATATACCCGCCGATTTTCTTCTTTGAAATACTCAATAATCTGGGCAAGTTCATCCAGACAGAAGGTTGAGGCTGCATAGGTTTTGGAGAAAACTATTATGGCCATCCTAGATTCCTTGATGGCTTTGGAAAGAGATGGTTGGATTTCTTCACTTGCGGGGAGGTATTTGTCATCAATGAAGGGACGAATCCCGCTTTGACGAAGAGATTCGTAAAGATGAGCAATGAAACCAAGCGAGTATCTGCACCTCGAAAGCTAACATACACATCAAAAGTCCACATGCGGGCGACAGAAGAGGTTTTTGCTCCTTGCACCAGCCAATCAAATGTTCCACCCATAAGCTTAGTAGCCATGGGTTCTGCTTCTGCTAGAAACCAAAGGAAATAAATTGAAAGTAAGTAAAAGTAAAAAAAAATAACATTATTTTATAAAGTGCTAAATCTAAATTGTTTTAAAGAGAAAATCCTACAAAAAAAAACTAAAAATTATTACATTCTAAATTAAGAATTCTTACAAAAATAAATTGTTATTTGCAAATTAAGTGTAAATAACACATGTCAAAATCTTAATTTGAGATTTAATAATTTTCATGTTATTTTTTATGGCTTTTTCTTTGTTCAAATTTCTTTGTTCGAATATAATCTAACATACCAGAGGAAAAGTAAGGAGAAACTAGAGAGAACCGACTATTAATTAATTAATTAATTAATTATAATCAATTAATGTTAGTAGTAGGAAGAAGTTGACCGATACCCAAACACACACATATGGTCATATACACTTAGACACACACACACATATTTTGGATACAACGGAAAGGAAAGGCAAGATTACTGTACGATTGAGGATTAACATCCTCAAGCGAAGTCAAGATCCCCGCTTAGATTGTCAGGTTCAAACACTCGAAAGCTTGGTGCACTATCCAAGGTGCGTTTGGCAAGAAAGTCTGCTATTATAAAAACTGATATAAATTTGATTTTTTATGGTTTCCTAGCACGGACGAATTTAAGATTGGATACGCAAGGAGCAAGAATTTGGGGGGGGGGGGGGAAATTCATGGGGGGCAGCAAAATGCTCAAATATTTTTACAAGTGAAAAAAAAATTATTTTGAGAAAATTAAGAAATCATTGGCCACAGATTCATCACTGTTTTACCATAGCGGACAACTAGTTCAAAATCTGGACCAACTCGTTGATAGTGTCAAAATAGTGGCTGTTCTAGTGGCAAACATTAACGCTTTTTATAAACCACCTGTTTAGCTCCAAAGAATTCATGAAAAATTACATATAAGTCCTGAATAAAAGATTTATTTGTAAGTGAGTCCTGTGAATTTGTTGAATACTCTTCTCAAGTCTCTGGAGACTTCATGTACCCACGCCTTTAACTAAAGTTGGCCAGAGCACACAAGTCATGGAAAATAAGTTATGTATTTATACTAAAAAGAATATATTACTCCTGGTTCTTAATAAAAGACCCAGTTGACTAATTTGGAGAGATTAAGAAAATTACTAAATTAGTTTTTAAAGTATTTATATTTATTTTTTTTTCAAAACTAATTTAACTTACTTATAAATTGATATATAACCTAATAATATACATAAGTATTTTAGATAGACCACGTAATATATATTATAATTAAGTAATTTAATAATTTTCTTAATCTCTCTCCAAATTAGTCAAATGAGTCATATATTAAAGACCGTAGGTAGTATTATGCTGACACAAAATGCAAGAAAACTGGGGCATACCTTGATAACGTGTGATTTTTTGGACTGACTCTACTACTTCGGTTGAATTTGAATCCTCATTCATTTCATCTTCAAGCTCTTCCCAATCTTGAGGTGGTTGTTGTACTTTTTGCCATGAGTTGCAATCGAGATGTGTTCTCGGGTCCCTGAATCGGATATCTTCCAAGTCATTTTGTTGCCTGTATACATGAACTGCCATAGAAATTTCCTTTTCCAATTTTATTTCTCGTGCATTGCTCTTGATTGAAACCCTCACATGATTCCATCTATTTGCAAGAGGGAGTCCAACCTTCTTAATTATGCTTTCCATATCACATATGTATATATGATTGGCCAGTATAATTGATAGTGAAAGCCATTCAAAAGAAATATCTAACTTGGTGTCATTGATGTGCACTGAGAATGCACATTTGTAAGGATCAACTTGGTCATTTTGAACAAGAAACCAAAGAGCAATTTTTGGGAACTTATCACGAATCCAAAAAGACATGGAGCTTCCTCGACTATAATAGTCAAGCCATTGAGGGAATCTTTTTCCAGGCAAAATAAAGTTTCTTTTCCCATTTCCAAAGTAGAATGCCTGCAAATTACATATAATACCATAAAATGATAAATAAATTGTAAGTACCTAAGGAAGATGATTAAGAAAAGATTAGGGAGGGGGCAGAGACCTGATCCAATACTCTTTTTTTGGATGACTTTGACAAAGACGTGCAACCTATGGCGCTGAATGTTTCCAATTTTGGTGGCATCCTCACAATTTTTTGCAATTGCACACAATGATCCAGCAAAAGATACCTTAAATTCTCACATTCTTCTATGCATGCTGGAAGAGTAATGAAACTATTAAACCTTAGATCTAAATGCACAACGTCAGGAATACAAGAGACACAGAGAGCAAGAGAGTCATTTGTTAAGTTGCAATTTGAGAAACGGAAAATTTTTTTTGAAGACATGGCTGAATTGTCTTCTTTTTCTTTTTCTTTGATCGAAATGGTCATGCAGTCTAAGCCTGCTTCTTTTTCACCTTCACATTTCCTGAAATGCTTCATCCCTTCACAAAAATTTGTTGATAGTTCCAATAGTTTTGGCAACATACAAATACTAGCTGGTAACTGCTTAAGATTAGGGCACGCCTCCATGTTTAAGGTTTCAAGCTCAATGAGGTTGCAAATTGAAGATGGCAGTCTTTCAATGGCCGTACTCTCCAAATCAAGTGTCTTCAACTTCTTCATCTTGTCTGATATTTCAGGAAAACACTGAAGAGTTGAACAGCCAAATAGATTCAGATGTTCAAGGCAGGATAGCTTAAAAGTAGGCGGCAAAGTCCTCAAGTTTTTGCATCGCATGGCACTCAATACTCTAAGATTATTCAAGAATCCAAGGGAATCATGGATATCAATTAAGTTTGTACAACCATCAAGCCGCAATTCTGTTAAATTAGAAACTCCCGACAAGTCTGGTATTTGGCTCAGGGATTTACAGTTGCTGAAATTCATGTGACTTAAACTCTCTAATTTCTACAAAACAAAACATAGAAAAAGTTAGATAAAGGGGGGGGGGGGAAGGCGTAATTTTAAGAGTTCACATAAGCATACCTTATTAAAAGGTTGGAGCACTACACAACTATTGGACAAATCAAGATGGACGAGTTCTGGTGGATGAAAATTAGGTGGCAAGGACTTAAAAGGGTACCCCTTCCATTCCAACACGCAGAGACTATTTGGAAGATATTTGATGCTTTTAGAAAATCTTGCATTCTTTATGACAAGCACTTTGAGCTTCTTCATCTTCGCAAATGCCTTGCCATTCCATTGGATTTCTTTATCTTTGGGTAAGTCAAGAATTATGACTTCAATTTCATCCGTGCCCTTTAAAATGAAAAGCACACTATAAATGCCAAATTTTAGGCATAAAAAAGTCATATAAATGTAAGAATTAAATAAAGAGGCATGTATGTTGTGCTCTAACCGTGTTATTTTGCAAGACATGAAGAATGTCTTCATAACGCCATAACCTGTTACGTTTACCGGGCTCTTTCGGTGATTGTCGGCGAACAATTTCTTTACCCATATCTTCAATCAAGTCATGCATTGTCACACAATCTTTTTCTATCTTTATTAGAGATTTATCCGTCAACACATTAATAGCATGTGTTGGATCAACACCGCGAAAACTCGTCAACATATTTATGACGTCTCCCAACTTCTCACCGTTAAAAAAACAGGCCAGGTCAAGAAAAATTTCCTTGTGCTGTTCTCTGCTTAAAGCATCATAGCTTACTTTAAGGACTTCAAAAACGCGTTCATGACGTATTCCATCATAATCATTTAATGCAGAAGTCCAATCATCAGCTTTTTTATCACATAAGTGAGAGCCAATCATTATCAAGGCTAATGGAAGGCCACCTGAATATTTTGTGGCACGATTCAAAACATCCTTGTAATGATCTATATACCCCGTAAGGTTTTTAAAGGCATGCCTTTCAATTAACTGAAGAGAGTCATCAGCATTTAGTATCTCGACATAATAAATTTTTTGAATTCCAAGACTTGCTAGTAATTGTTTATCCCTTGTCGTGATAATAATTCTACTTCCAAGGCCAAACCACTCACAGCTTGCAGCTAATGCCCATAATTGCTCCACTTCATCAACGTCATCAAGAATTAAAAGAATCTTCTTGTTTTGGAGCCTATTTTTTATTATTGGAATTCCTTCATTGAAATCACCCAATCTGAGTTTCTTCTCCCCCACCAATTTATAGAGTAACAACTCTTGAAGTTGGGGCAAGCCATGCTTGTTAGAAATTTCTCTAACATTAGGAAGAAAACATAAACCATCAAAATTATCAGCAACTGAATTATACACAGCCCTTGCAATTGTTGATTTACCTATTCCACCAATGCCACAAATTCCAACCATCTCCGATTCTTTATTGGATGAAAGATTTAAAAGTGAGATTATTTCTTGCACCCGTAACCCAAGACCAACTGGATAATCGGCAACATTTAAATGATTGGGTTTAATCTCGGCAGAGACTTTGCGAGTAATCTTCTTAATATGCTCCTGTTCTTTTGTAATTCTGCCCATAAAAGGTTAGCCTTTATTCAAACCAAAAACATGTTGATAGGCTAGTTATAGAATGAAATGGAATGAGAAAGAAGATAAAATGGACAAACAATTTTCCAAATGAGAAATATCTCTGCATGCCTCGGAATCACAAATTTACAATTATAAATAACAATATTTTTTTTAGAGGAGTTATAAATAACAATTTTAAAAACACATACATATTCCATATTTTCTGTTGATATTCATTATACAAATTAAAACGTTTTGATTCGTGACAATCAAGATTGATCTCCAAAAAGCTTGTTAGAGAGTTAGTTGGCAATTCCTAAGTAGATGCTTAAAGAAATTGAAACTCCCTAATCATTTTGCGGACATCAATGGGTCTTGGTGAACACGGCAGAACTGCAGATCCCATGGAATGGAAATAAAGCGAATTCTTTCAAATCCTCTAGAAGAGTACCCAATATCACCGTATCTTTTTGTTAAAATTAAAATATATTTTTGAGTAATATATTACATAAAAAATAAAAATATTATGAAAACAAATAAATAATAAATCATATAATATATCTTTTATTTTATTAATTTTTTGAATAAAAATATTTTAATACAATACGGAAATTAAATTAAAATATATAGTAACATGTTAAATTATATACATAAAATACTTAAATATATTTGTTTTTTTAATTCAAAATATATATATATATATATATATATATATATATATATAAGGCTACCCATAGGTGCGTTTCATATTTTCAATCTTTTTTATGGATCATTTCCTCTTTTACCTTTTTTTTGGTTTTCCAACCTCTTTTACTTATTACTAATTAATTTACACATACTCCTAAAAATAGTTTAAAATAGAAAATTTGTCATAAAATTCAGGGAAAATCCTAAACCCTTAGAATATACAAAATCCCAGATTGGGTCCTTAAATTTTAAAAATGACAGAATGGGTTATTGACCCAATCTGTCATTTGTGAAATTAAGGCGAATTGACAATTTTGCCCCTGGCCAAACAAAGTGAGTAGTTATTCTCTAAACAAATCTAGGTAACGCTTATACTGTTTTAGTGATTACAAGATTAATTGTAGGTAATAATAAGGTACTTGACAATAATAAGATACCTGACTATGCAAAATAAATAGTTATTCTCTACACAAATCTAGGTAATACTTACATTGTTCTAGTGATTACAATATTAGTTGTAGTTAATAGCAAGATACCTGACTATGAAAAAGTGAGTAGTTATTCGCTACACGAATCTAAGTAACACCTAAATCCTTATAGTGATTGCTTAAATCATTGTAGTGAATGAATGCAAATGAGGGTAAAATTGTCAATTCGCCTTAATTTCACAAATGACAGATTGGGTCAATGACCCATTCTGTCATTTTCGAAATTTAAAGACCCAATCTGAGATTTCTCATATTCCAATGTGCTTTTTTGGGATTTTCCCTAAAATTTAAGTGATTTCTAATTTTATTATCATTTACTATACTAAATTTCAACATCGTACAACTACACTAAATTATCATAAAATTTTATAAAAAAGATTAATAAACTTATAAAAAAAAGTCTTATAATAAGAAGAGAAGGAGTAAAAATTTGGATGAAAAATAAAACTAAGGAGAGAGAGGAGCAGGTACCCAGGTTGAAAATGCCAGCCTGACAAGTCAGCTGCTTGGGACAAAGCCCACCTCCACTTCTGCAACTTCTCGTCGTTTCCTTCCAATCTCTTTTGTAGATCAGCCAAAGCTTGTCCGTAATTCCCTCTCTGATGTCGCACATCCGATGGATCCACATGATAAAACACAGAATAAACCAACCGACTTTCTTCTTTGAAACACTCAATAATCTGGACAAGTTCATCCAGACAAAAAGTCGAGGTTGCATAGTTTTGAGAGAAAATTATGATGGCTATCCTGGATTCCTTGATGGCTTCAAAAAGAGACGGTCGGATTTCTTTGCCTGCATCAAGGGATTCATCATCAATGAAGGTACGAATCCCTATTTGACGAAGAGACTCGTAAAGATGACCGACGAAATTCAGGCGAGTATCTTTCCCCCGAAAGCTAAGAAACACATCATAGCTCCATCTGCGGGTGACGGAAGAAGATCCTGCTCCTTGCGCCATGATACAGTAATCTCACAGATCTGAGAACTTGTAGGTTTATATTAATGTAAGTTGCCAACAGCAGGCTTCCCCGAAGGATCGTCACATTCCCTTTTCATTTGGTGGCGCTCTGAAAATAATATAAAGACGAGTGCTCAATGGTCAAAAGCAAAACCAAAAAGGGAAAAGGCAAATTCATCTCATCAGATAAAATCGACAATGACTTTCAACGGACCAGTGGAACTCGCCCCTGTCTGGCAAACCTCTTTTCCAGCGATGGGGAATGGGACTCGAATTGAAATCAGGGAGAACACCATGAAGGGAAGGAGAGGGAACTTGGTGAGATTCAAACACAGAAGAGAAAATAAAAATAAGCTGAATCACATCAGAGCTTCCTTGATACAACTGGTCGAGCTAAGTAGTGAAATTATTTGATTTGGTCGACGACAACTCTTTATGCTTTCGGTGCTGGTCAGTCAAGCGCGATCCAAACGGCAGTTTCTTTAGGAAACAAAGCAGAAAAGAACAAATATCAGTACAATTATTTCGTTGGCCCACCCCCGCCCCCGAGGGGGGGGGGAATCAGTACAATTATTTCAAATTTTCTTTTTATTAATTAATTGGTAGCTTTATTTTGTTACTAGCCGGTCAAAAAGGTGACAGGTGGATTATAGGCTGTTAATAATTCATTTGTACGATGAATGTTTAAAAAAATAATTATCACTAAGTTTTAATAATAAATTATCATTTACTCTTATAAAATTTGTCATTATAACTTATTTTATTGTCATTAAGACTTGGTAATCATGATTTTTACTTGGGATTTCGTTGCAGTCCTCCCTAATTCATTTGCTTATTCGCTTGTAGGACCTGTTTCCTAACATCTTTTTACTTCCTCCCTCTCATTATATTTGTATTTCACCGTAAAAAATTTAAATAGGGATGGACACTGCATGGACATAAATAGATGTATATTACCTCCAATCTTAAATATAAAAATTAGTATAAATTTTTTTATTAATCTTAAATATAATATTTCAATTTAGTTTATTTTCTAAATTTATAATTTTCTCTAAATTCTCCTTACACATATTAAGGATTATTCATTATATAAGAAGTATTTTTCAATACAAATAATTATATGAGTATTTTAAAAATCAATACACTTTTTATAAAGTATAACTTAACTAATTTTTTTAATATTTACATATTAGTACTATTTTGTGTGGAAATTAATTATCTAAGCATGCAAATATCAGAAAGGTTATGTGATGAACTCATCTTTTAATTTCCATCCTCTCTCTTTCATCTTCTCTCCTTTCTCCAACTCTCTGCGTCTTGTCTACGCCGTGTTACTTTCATTTTCTTCCTTCCACAGTCAAAGTACATTTTCTTCTTCTTCTTTTTTTTTTGTATTTTAGGCCCTATCCTTTTCCTTGTTTTTTCCTTATTATATCTTTCTTCTTCTACACTTTAGGCTTTTAACGCTACGACACGAATCCCGCTTTGATGAAGAGACTCGTAGAGATTACCGATAAAATTCAAGCGAGTATGTTCCGTTTAAAAGCTAAGAAACACATCATGACTCCATCTCTTCGCCATGATACAGCAGTCTTGCAAGTTTGTGAAGACCGAAATGAAAGTTCAACTTGTAGGGTTTGTATTAATGTAACTGTCCGTTAGTCTTGTGTAGTTTCCAACAGCAGGCTTCCCCGAACGTTCGTCGCATTTTCATTTCATGGTCTGGCCCTCTGTAACGCGTATTTATAAAAACAAAGTGCACAATAGTCAAAAGTAAACCCAAAAAGAAGGGGGTGGGACAAAGGTAAATCACATCATCAGATAAGATCGACAATGAAATTTTCATTTTTGTTTTCGTAAAACAGTCCCGTTGATGGGTTCAACAGACCTGTAGAACTCGCCCCCGTCTGGCAAACTCCTTTCCAGCAACGGGGAATGGGACTCAAATTGGCATCAGGGAGAACCCCGTCAAAGGAAGGAGGGGGAACTTGGTGATATGGAAACAAAAAGAACAGAAAACAGAAATAAGCTGTTAATCATATCAGAACTCATCTTTTAATTTCCATCCCATCTCTCCTTCATCTTCTCTCCTTTGCCCAACTTTGCTTCTTGTCTCCGCCGTGGTCTACCATTTTTTTTCTTTCCACATTCAAAGTACATTTTCTTCTTCCTTTTTGGCATTCTAGGCCCATCCTTTTCCCTTGTTTTTTCTCCCCTTATCATACCTTCTTGTACGCTTTGGGCTTTTAACGCTAAGCATCACCTTCTTTCACATGTAGCCACCCCCTCTTCCTCCATTTTCAGCTTTGGTTTTTGGACCATCGGAATTTATCAAGACCATGTTGACCATTTTTTACCAATTGAATTACATTCTCAGTTTTGCAGTCAACCAAAACGGATTGGTCAGCGATTTTCTAGTTCATAAAAAATCACCTGTCCAAGTAGCCAATCCAATCTTGTTTCTATCACATTGCTATTCATGAATAAGTTTCCATTGAGTTAAAATTTACGTGGGTGATCTTGAGGTACGTAGACCAACGCTAACGAGTAAAGCTACAAATATAGACACTCGCACACGACTTAATATAATTATACGCATACATATGTGCACATGTTGCAGTATCATTTATTAACAATAGAGTGTATTTGTCCGCTTGTATTAACACAAGTCATTTACACACACGTTCATGTGAACTTTTATGTGAACTGTCCCCAAAAAATAAACCACCATTCATATGTAAACTTGGGTAAAAACGTCAACTTTCCATGAACATTTCGAAGCACGCATGGCATAGATTAGAAGACAGATCACCTAAGTAATATATTGCATCAAAATGAATGAAAAGTTACATGCTCAACATTTTAGCAAAAGAAT